CCCCAAAACCCCAAAACCCCAAAACCCCATTGGGAATAGAGTTTAAAGACTACTTAGAAAATAAAATTCTAAATTTAAAAAGCGAAAATTTAAATATGAAGAATAGCTAACTGAAAATTTCTGCGAACAAACCACAGCCTGTTAAGTAAAATACAGCTAGTACATACTAAAAGGTGAAGCCCGTTGTTGTTAAGCATGTTTTGAAAAATTAGATAGCGCCTTTAGCTGATCCTAAAATGCAATCTTAGAGTTTATAGGGAAAGGAAAGTGTAAGATTTTCTGAGGCTTCAATGAGTCCAAGATTCTATGGCCAAGGACAGCCCCCATATTTCGGGAAGCCAGAAGATGTAAGCAGAGATTTAATATAAAACTTAGAGAAGGGAATGACTCAACTAAAAATCTCAACTTTGAAAAAAGAAAATCAAGACCCCTAATTATCAATGCTGTTACACTAATAAAGATCAAATAATATGGGCTTCAGCAGCTAAAATTAAATGATCAATAATTACATGCCAAGTTACCATAATGAATTTCAAACATCAAACATTCAATATGGTTCAAGTCAACTTGACCACATAATAAGTTTGGAAGAACTAGACAACCTAAGAAAATAAAACGAAGACAGAATAAGAAGCATCGAAGAAAAGTATTTTAAGAGAAAAGAGGAAACAAGGCAGGTAAGAGACATTATCTAGGAAAGAGCTGATGTGAGAGAAACTAAGGAAAAACATGTAGATTCTAGTCTGAGCTATCCAACATATGGGCGTGGAGTTGACCCAGACCCAAATATCAACACTTACATGATTAACAAGAATTTGTGTCACGACGGTCAGTCTCCAAAGAAAAGATTCAAACTTGAGACTGACGAAGACGATGGATTCTCTCCGAGTCGTGATGACAGGCAAAAAAGACCCAAGATCATTACTCCTAGAAGGCAGAAGTACGAGACTCAGTTTGAGAAGTTTATGGTGTACAAGTACGTCGAGGAGCAGCTAAAGGAAAAGCCCCCTAAGCCAAAGGAAACAGACAAGTTTGATACAGTGACTAAAGTTGAAGGCTCTCTTAATGCTAAAATGCACCAAAAACTATATGAGGAGGAGAGAAAGAGAAGATAAGACTTTGAATTGAAAAAACTATAGAATAAATCATTATACCAGATTGAAAATAGCATTGAAAAGCTGCTGCATGAAGAGGCACTTGTTATTCTAGGTTAAGAGGTACTTGACAGACTTAGAGCAATCTTTAATAGTATAATTGAGGAGTCAGATCCAGCAGGGCAGGGTGAAATAGACAGAGTAGATTTCAACACTCTTGTTGCTACTTTAGCTGAAGATGAATTTTTCCAAGATTTCATGCAAGCTGTTGCTAGAAAGAATATAGATGGTGAATCTGAGACATTCGAGGATCTTTTGAATAGAGTTTTAAATGAACACAGAGAAGACACAATATCATGGTTGCAATTCCTAGGTTTTTTCAGTAAAAGAGGCAAGCTTCAAGGTTACAATCAATTACAAATCAGTCCAACTAAGGGAAAAACTCTTACTACTGCCGATGATGAGCAAGGAGGGGATAATCTAGGAGAGAACAAACAAGTTAAATACTAAAAGCAAGTCAAGGAAAGATTAAACTACAAATAGACAATGGTACCTAAAGAAGGCAAGGGTAAATATAATGTGACAGTGCCAACTCCCTATGATTTCCAAAATAGAGAGAAGACCGAAAAGACTATCAGAGAGCAAAAGTTAGAGCAGATGCTAAAAGAAAAAGATGATAAAGTAGTTGAAGCTATATCCTATAAATTCAGAGCAAACGACATTCCAAAGTCTACTACAAAACCTCTATACTAAAAGCTAATTAAGTAAAAGGAAGAGAGAAGATAAGAAGTAAGAAGACTATCAATGGCAATAACTAAGTAAACTGAAAAACCCTTTAGCTTTTATACAAGAGAAAAGAGTAGAGAAAGAAGACTAGACACAGAGATACCAGAAACAATGAGGCATGCACCCTTTAGAGCAAATAAGATACCTTGGAAAGTGCTTGTTCCTTTATATAAGAGAATGAATGATAAGATTGAGTATGAGAGAGAACAACGCATCAAGAAGAATGCTGAGCTTAGTCTATCATTAGCAAAACTTCCACCTAGAATGGAAGAATATGAATAAAAGAAAAAACTATAATCATAATAGGAGGGTTATAAAACTGGTAGATCTAATTCTCTTGATATGATTTGCACATTTTAGCCACCTAGAGCCAAGCCTGTTCCAGATTTCAAAAGACTTTAGAAGTAATTCCAATAATCACTTGAGAATTAAAGAAAGTCCCACTCAATAACTGAGCCTACTCCATTTACTTTCCACCAACCTAAATCCACAGCAAATATGAGATAGTATCTTGATTTGGAAAACTAAAAAATCAATCCAACATTGAGAGAATTCAAAAAAGGAAAAGGTAAATCTACAATTGGAAGATCATAATCACTAGGAGAATCTGTTCTAAATAGAGATAATGTAAAAGAAAACCCTGCAACTACTAAAAAATTTGAAGCTTATGTTGAGTCTAGAAGAAAGGATATGGAAGATAAGAAGGTCAATGAAGAAAGTAAATTCCAAGAAGAAATTCAAAGATTTTTCAAGTAAAATAGGCTATCTCAAAGAGTATAGTGCTCTCCTGCTTTAGTAAATACTGGAGCAGAACTAAAAAAAAGAAAGATTGAGTCCATCAGAAGAGCTAAGACTAATATGAAGAAGCTAGAAAAGGCTTGGGATGATAAGAAGTAAGAGATTGAGTTCAATGTGGCTAACAAACCTTTGTTGGTTGAATAAGTCTCTAAAGCATTCATAAGAAATCTAAATTAAATTAGAGAACTACAAAGGTATGTAAACATCTTGAGAGAAGCTAATTTAAATCCCGATGAGCACTTGACAGAGGAACAAAAAGAACTATTATTAAGTGCTGAATACTATGATAGATTAAATGCAGCTACTGCTTATTTCCCCTCTTAAATGCAAGGGTAATAGTAATATAATCAGCAAGAGGATATGGATGGTGAAGAAATGGAAGGCGAAGGAGAAGGTGAAGAAGAAGGAGAGGGTGAAGATGACGGAGAAGAAGAAGAGGAAGAAGGACAAAGAATGATCGGACAAGAACCCATTGAAGAAAATTAAATAGAAGAAGATGAAGAGGATGATGATAACTAAAATTAAGATGGCAATGAAATGAATGATAACGATGAGGAGGATGATGTGCAAGAAGATTAAACTCATAGTCAATAATAAGAAAATGTAAACCAAGAAAACTAGGAAAGCCAATAGCAAAATGAAGAAGATGAAGAAGAAATGGATGGTGAAGATGATGAGGGAGAAGAAATGGTCGAGTTGGATGATGAGCAAATGAGATAATTCATTCTGTACTAATAGCATCAATAAATGTTGAGAGCTTAACACCTGGGAGGTGGTGATATGGATGAAGATGATGAAGACATGTAGTATGGAGAAGAGGATGATGAAGAATATGAAGAGGATCAACAACAATGAACTGAAAATTAATAAATAAATGATTTTTAAGATAAGATATTTGATTTAATTGATTAATTATAACTTTTAAATTAAAACTAAAATTAGATGAAGGGGTTTTGGGGTTTTGGGGTTTTGGGG